CTGATATGTTGTAGGATAATGCACCTGACACAGGTCTGTTTTCTGTATCAATGGGAGCATCTAGACTTAGGAGAAGATCTAATTCTTCATCCAAATGGTCAGGCTCTTGCTTTGATAGCGGACGGCCTCTCTGAAATGGTTCCGCTGCACTTGCCCTAGGAGCATTTTTACTTCCAGGCTCTGACGGAGGAACGGAATCACCAACAGGATGGGAGACCAACACTGTTTCACTTTGAGCCAGAGACTGTCGAAACAGCAGCTCTCTCCTCTTGCCATCTTCAATAATTTTAGGTTTCATCTGTGGGAGCTCTACAGGTGTCGATGCCTAAGAGTACAAGAAAGGCCTTGAGTCTTTCTAATGATTAACGCCATTTTTACTATTCTGTCTAATTTGGATTATAATTCATGCTTCCTATATTTGATCACTTCAGAAGGTGCAACAAATTTCAGCAGAATTGAATTCAGAAGTAAAAGTAAACTAAAGTTATCTTGATGGTTGTATAAAAACCTGTATGGTTGTATATACTTGTATAAAAACAACTACAAAAACCAAACTCCTTTTATCCCTTATTATGAAGTACGAGAATGTATGCTAAATCAGAAAGTTCCATGGTTTCACAAATACTTCCTGTAGAGTTACTTTTCTTTAATTCTTCTGTAATGAAATCCTAACAATACTCTGAATTTTGGAATGATTGAAGTCAGAATTTGGCTAGAAATTTTATCCCATGTTAGGCCTTACCTCCAAAATTCCAGTCTTGAAAGCAAACCATACCATAGCTCACTGAAAATCTTTTAGCAAAAGTTTTAGTATATAGCTGTGTATTTTGAAAAATGAAAACAAATTACAAAACATTATCAAATAGTGAAAAAAGAAATGGCAACCCATTACTTAACCGTGGAACACAGATTCTGCTTTTATCAGGATGCCCTGGCATGAATAACACTGCAGCATATCTGATGACAGCATCACTGGTCAGAATGACAAGACAAAAATTAAATGTCATAACACACACTTTGTAACCCTGATAAAAGTTAAAGACCATGATTAGAGCTCTTCAGAAGAAAAATATATTTGGAAGTAACATTTATTTGCAGGTTCCCTTAAACATCACATCTGCAGACATGTCTGAGCTCCCTTAAGAACAAACATAGTTGTTTCAGTCACAGAAGCACTTCATGCAGCTCCAAAAAGAAGTAGAATTTCTTCTGTAAGGGTCATGGATTTTTTTTTTTTTTTTAGGAATTTTGTTTTTATATTTAAGTCTCCTTAGTTCTTTTGCCCTTACATGAGTATTTTCTTTTCACAGCCTGAAGAAATATTTTTTCCTAATATTCTGTTGCCTTTTTTTTTTTCACCAGACCATAAATGACATTTTCTTCACCTGTTTGATGTACAGTTCCACCTGTTCTACTACAGATGTAAGTTTGATTCATGGAATAAACATGTATTGTTGATGTTAGGTATGTAGAAGAGTAAATCACAATTAAAATAATTAACAGGAAAGAATGTGGAAGCACTTTCAGAATTTTGGTGCAAGTTTTTAACAGCTGCCAAAAAGAGAAGTAAATAAATAACAGTGCAATCATTCCATGTCAAACACTCCTATATCCGGCCTTCAAATCTAACGTGCTGCACTTTGAAGCATTTTGTTGAAAGCTAACACAGCAGAAAAAGTCCCGAAAGAGAGGCATCCTGCATTACGTGCCATTTGACATGCCAGTCTATAGCAAAGTATTTACTTATAAAAGACATTGTACTTACGTTTGAAGACCAAATTTAAAGTAATCCTTCTTGCACAGATTGTTTCATTTAAAATATTTGCATTTTCTTGTGAAAATTCATGGCATTACCTGCACCAGTTCAGCAGCTACGTTCAATCTCAGATGTAAAGGCAATTCCTGAAGGGCCTGGACCAAAGACTGGCAGTCGAGAGCAAGTGCAGATAACTGAAATATAATTCAACACACAGTACACTCGTATTAAAAAAATATGAACTAATAATGACTTTAATCTATTACTTTCCTCTGTTCCACATACTTAGAAATGTAAAGAACAATCTAATGAAATACAACAATTCATAGTCTTAAATTACACATGTACAAAGCAGTTTGGCTAAATTACCATATAAACACCTACAATGCAAATAATCACTTAAAGGTTTAAAACCAGAGGATGACGTTTTAAACAAGATATAAATGGAATGCTCCTTACACATGCCTTGAAAAATCCAAAGCAGCAAATACTTCTGCAAGGTGACAATGTCATAAGAGGCTTTTCCACTCAAACATCTTTTAATCTCCGAGGCTTACCGTGCAGTGGGAATCACCATGAGTTGTTAGTATTTTCTAAGCAATCAAACCGTGTAGCTTGTATGTAGCTTTACTGTTTTTAGTGCCGAAACAACAGGGCCCTTTTTATACTTCATCATCTTTTAAAATCTTTCAGTGCTTACAAAACCAAGAAACTATAGTTACATACACTTCTAAAGTGATATTCAAGATATTCAACAAAGATACTCTACTGCTGCCTGCTTGCTTAAAAGGTGGAACTGTCACTTATTAATGTGACAGGTATTGAAGTTTTCTTTTGTCTTAACTCTTTTTTTTTTTTAGCTGTAAACTATCAAAAACAAATTTACCCCAAAATGGACCATCAATATTTGATATTACTACAGAATAGCCTAGACTTTGGTAAACTTAAACAGAATTTGAGCTCACATACAGCAGAACATTCTGATCATGTTCACCATCGATGAAAAAAACAATTTTATATCCATCACATATTTTAAAATATGACCAAAAACTGCTTAAGTTGAGTCTATACTCTCATTTTCACGGAAGCAGAGAAGCTGCTTCTAAATCTAGTTTACAGAGACAAAAATTTGTTCCTCTGAATGTGGTATAGACTGATACAGACATTTAGAAGTCTAAAGACTCAAATTAGGAGAGAATGTTTTGTGCCATATCCTAAGATTTATCAAAGGAATTCACACTGCTCCCAAAAGCCAGTCAACAGAATGGCTTCTGACACCTGCACACACAGCAAGAATGAACATCAAAGGCAGAGTGTGTTCCAATAGCACATTTATAAAATTAAAATAAGTTTAAAAAAGAATCAGTGAAGTTGGTTTAACAGTTTCTTGTATCCAAATTCTGGTTCTGGCATCCACTAAGGAAAGTAAAAGGACCAAAGAACTTAAATATCTGATGGTTACAACTTTTCTTCTTTACTAACAACTTTATTTTACAATGGATTAGTGATCACCATCAAAGATGATTCACTGGTACACGTAACCTCAAAAAGTCTTCAACAACTAATTCTTGTTGCCCACCAATGAATTAGAACTTCGGAAAACTGAAGTTCTTTTGGCAGATATTGAAGATCGAATATGGTTTCTGCACATTCACAAAGGACAAGGAAGTCACATGAATCCCATAACATTAAAAAAAAAAATTAAAGTGTCATTGAATAACATTTAAGTGCAGTTAAGAAGAGCTAAGTACACTTGCAATGAACATTGTGAACAAAGGTGAAAACGGAGACAGGGAACAGATGAGAAGGCTGAGGATGAAGGAAGAGAGAAATTTGGAGAAATAACATAACAGAAGAAGGAATTCACTATCCAAGCAGAGATATCACTAAAAGTGGCGTTTGAATAAAAAACAAAGGGATCAGAGCAGCAGATGATAGATGATAAACACTTCGTGGCACATGTAGTTATTTGTAGAAAAATAAGTAGAGGCATACGTTGCTGTTGGAATTGCCATTTTTTACTGAAAAATCCAAGTGACTATTACCTGTTTGATTTTCAAATTGCACACCGCGTTCTGAAACACTTTTATTGCATTTTTATCAGTATACAATAAAGCAAATCCAGATCTAATTTTTGTAATAGTGAATGATAATATTCTTAATAAACTTAAAACTCATTACTCTTGATGTCACTGTAACATTTCCATTCCACATTTGAAACCGATGCTTTGCCATTGCTTTCTAAAAATAATCGAGAATAGGAAATATCTAGTCATTCTGCAACTATTTCTATGCATTTTCTGCTTTATTTTGTTCAATTGTCATCACTTCAGTTTACAATTCTCTAATCTTCTACATAATGTATAGACAGGCAAAGAACTAGAAACAGGTGAGTAAGAGGCAAAGACAAGGAATTTGGCAAAGTGGATCTAGGATAAAAATTAGACCTGGATCCAGCTTTCAGGGAAAAGAAAGATGGGCCAGAAACAAAATGGAGATAAGAGGCTGAAGACCAGACACAATGGGAAAAATTAGATAATGCTGTGATACCATCTGGGCCAGAATTCTGGACCAAAATAAGAAATCAAAGGAAGGGTACGGTCACCAGTGCAGTAAACTATTTCAAACTGACCCAAGAACAGTGAAAGACACAAAACGGTTTGAAACAATGAATTTGGATGGGGCAGGACGAATGACTACAGTTGGTAGAGACAGAGACAGAAGAACATGCCCACCACAGCACACTTCACGATGAGTGAGAGGTGAGACCAGCTCCAGAACTGTGCAGTCTCATCACTGGCATCCAGAAGAGTTTTTTGTGAAATCCACTGGCAACATGCAACTTTACTCTGTTCACAATGGCTTTAGCCATTCAGAAATTAATTAATGTGATCGAATCATCTAAATGCTATAATGAAAAGCCTATGAGGAAATGATGGAGAAATTAATATTCTAGATACTGACATCCTGCACACTAGGAGTGGAAGGAACTGGCGAGAAAAAAATACTGTCACTGAAAGACTGTATCCCATTGAAAAAACATGATGGTTTAAACAAATGCTGCACTTATTTTTATTTTCTCATTATAATTTGACTTTGCAACTTTAATGTACCTTTAAGTGTCACTTCCCAGGGAATAATTATTGTCAATATTTCAGGAAATAAATGCAAACTTTTAAAATTTGAATACATGTGTATGTTTCAAGAAACATTCAAGTCCACTTTTGCAGCAATTTTAAGAAAAGCTTGGAAGACAAAAGCATTTATCTTGCAATAATTTAAGTGATTTACAGAAGGAAGCCAGCTGCAGACACTTTCCAGTACCCTGATATAGAAAACAGCAGACTCCTATTACTTTGTCCCTTTTTATTCCAGCATAAAGAATCCACGTACAAATAATCTAAAAGCCAAGGTCCCATGGTCATTTTGGAGGTGAAGTTTCAACCAGAGGATACAAACTGTTAATTTGAAAGAACTAGAACAAGCTTCATAGTCAAATACATGAATATACTCTTATATGCTCCATTATAGTAATTTTACTAAACTATTTTCCCTTGAATACAGCTGAAAAAACAAGGCTGACTTGATGTGTAAGTAAAGCAAAGCAACAGTCCCTTATTTTCCCTTCACTGGATGGATTTCCTTGTTCTTTTCTTCCAACTTTACTTAAAAACATGGCCTGCTGCTTAGATTAGCCTTCAATAAAAAAAAAAAAAGGACAAGACCTAAGAGCCACCAGCATGAGAGACAAATGAATAAAAATATACAAAATAAAGAGTGCTATCATTGTATTAAACAGCTTTTTGCTGAAAGCAGAACTGCCTAGGTATTCTGTGCCAGGCAATTATCCATACAAATGTATTTGAATGATAATTCTGTTACCTGCTTATGGCATATGCTTTCTCTATCCCATTCTTTCTCATCAGCAAATCGGAACTGTGTAAAGGAATCTCCTACAGAAAAGAAATTAAAAACACATTTATTTTTTTTTAAATAACAGGCTATCTCCAAAGTTCCCAATCCTACAGAAGTAAATTCAGTTAATAAACATCACATCTTCAACAAATTTGCATTTAATTTTAATGCTGCTTGCATTCATAATATTAAAATTCTTTAAGCCAAACTTCTATAGAAAGATCTTTTAATTTCTTATTTGCAAAACAGTACTAAAAAAGGCGCAACAAATTCAAAACTGAATGAGGGGGTGCTAGGTGCCGGGTCAACAATCAAGATTTTTATTGAAAAGTCCAGTTTGGACAACATACTAGGAATACATACAGTAATCACAGAGTGCAATTTATTTTTTTTTATGAAGAGCTTTAAATGGGCTATAGATAGACCACCTCTTATCAACATGTAAATTTCTCTTAAAATGGATTATAAATGTCCTAAAAATCAGTTTGTACAGGCCAAGTAAAGACTTGTTGTTGTCTGGTAGCTAAATTCTCCAGACACTGTCTTCCTTGAACTAGTCCCTACTCCAGCACGTCATCAAAAAAAGGCACTGAATATCAAACTCCAATTCGTATGCATAAAGGACTGAGTTAAAAGAAACTTTAAATAGGGATAATTAAGCTACATATGTAACCTCAGTTATAGGATCTTCTAAACTCGTACTACATTCCTCCAAGACAGTAGGAACTTCTTACTATAGAGAGGCTTGGGTTATTGTTTTGTTTTAGATGCGACATTTCTATTGCAGTACCATGCTCGGTTGTGAAAGACATAATTTATTCACTGAAAAAACACACAAGAATTCCAGGAACTCAAGAAAATTAGTAAGGTCTGTGACAGTGGAAATATGAATGATTAGGGTTGCAAGATGATGGCCAAAGGTCTCAAGTAACAGAAAGCAAAGGCATTGCTTATACAGAGTATGGGACATATATCTTCTCAGACCATGCAGTCTGAGAACAAATAGCTGTTTCCAGAGCTCTACTGGAAAAAAACCACCCCATTTAATTATTGCATGAAGGGGATGAAATCTGATCCCAAGAACTGCAGATCACTATAAGTCACTAGGATTTAGTCCCGCAGTTAGATGAGAAGCAACAGCTCCTTCCTTCTAATGAGCACGCTAGAGGAAGTTTTCAACGGCATTACCAACAAGGGAGCATCTAACTTCCATTTGGCTCTCAATATGCTAACCGCCATTGATACTTTCAACAATTCCTGCATCATGCTTTTAATCCTGCATATAAAATCCAAATATATAATGTGCTGTCCCCAAAATTGGCTTCTTTTCCATTGCCTGCCTGTCCCAAAACGTAGGGGAGTTCAGCCTTTCAGTAATTTTACTCAATAGTGCAAGCCTCAGCCAACTTCTGATTTGCAAACTGAATGAATCAGCAGCAAAATGGCACAGTAATTGGCATATTTCTTTGCCAAACAATAAAAAGAAGGAGACCTAACCATCTCCCAGCTGGAATGTAAAATTTATTGGCCATGGCTTTTTTTTAAAAAAAAATATCTAAAGAGCATTTCTAATTCACTGAATGTCATGTATGCTCATTGGGTATGCAACACACTTATATGCTAATCACACTGTGTATCTGGCATGTCCACCATCGTCATGTTCAGAATCATCTCAGCTGAGTATTTATATCTATATTTATAACTATGACCTTGTTCAGCTTGAATCTGCATCTTCCTGGTTTTTTTAGGTTTATCCAACATTGTTCAGCATTACAGGGCTGACATACGACCTTGCCTGATCAGCTAGGCTTTGGTTTACATTCAATGCCTCCAGATACTACTATTTTGGAAACAACCATGGTCAAACAGTGCAAGTGCAAATAATTAAAATCAAGCACTAAAACTGACATTTAGATATCCAAGAAGAAGCCTAATTTTATAAATGTTTAGTTCATATAATTCACAAACACCAGGTTCCATGACACCTAGGTATGCTCAGCGACATGGAAAAACAAGATCCTAAGTTTATGTACGTATCTGCAGATGCAAATACTTAACTTGAGTGCTCACAGTTGACTCACTGCTGACAAAGGTGCCTTCTTCTTCATTGGACACGGAACAATGTAAATAAATCCCTCTGTTTCAAAATATCTATAATACCGCTAATAAGTAATTAATGTTGAAAATTAAAGAAATTCAAATTCATTCTTCAGTCTCATGATTTTAAAATGGGTATGAAAGTGTGCACATTAAATTATGTTTTAACAGCTCATAGCTTAAAGGCTCAATTTAGTTACATATGTAAAGAAGTTTTATTGAAAAATAATTAAACCAAGTGATCCTCAAAGTCTTCAGACTGTTAGAACAAAGGCGAAAGTATTTTCTTCCACTATCCCCAAGAATCCTTCAGTTATTTCTCATGCTGTGTTGCAGAGGAAATAGAGTCTCCTCTGCTTTTATAAAAAGGAGTAAAATTAAACTAAAGGATTAGTCAAATGCTTTCAGTATCAGAGAATGACCAGATGCTAAACAAACCTGCTTCATCAGGAAGATCCACAGGGACCAAGAACTGGTTTATGATTCTCCACACTCACAAAGTTGGTAGTAACAGATCCTCAGTTTGATACTGCATTAAAGGGTATGACTTATACTGTAGTTTAACTAGGCTTTTAAAATAAGTTAACAAAGCATGCCTTTCCAATGGAAAAGCAATAACTACAATTCACAGTAGCACATTTAATGCAAATTAGGTTAATGAGAATGTTGGCCTAACCAATTATCTTTTCACAAATTCCTTTACCCTGAAAATAACTTCCTTTTATGCTGTGAATACTAATCAAGCGTCTTGCAATGACTCCAAGTTCCTTCCAACACAAAAAATACTTTTCTTCATATGAATCATTTTTATGTTACTTACAAACATCACTTTGCCTTCAAATACAGAGTAGCTAAAAATAATGCATTCAAGCAAACCTCACGCATCGTCTTTGGAAACATTCATAATAAGCCTTAATATTCTTTATTGTATAAAATGTAACTTTATTATGAAAGAACAGCAGATCTAAACCACTATGCTTTCCTGCCACTTGAATATATTTTAAAGCTAAACCAATTGATTTAAATAGAATACATGTTTCATAATCTCATTACCCAATTATCTCTTCATATAAATATTCATTGAATAGCAAAATCAAACAAATCCTACCTGTAATCTGCAATAAATATTTTCCAATCTGTGAAATTATCTCAGTCTAAAAGTTGAAAAAATTGAAAAAAAAACCCCAATGTTTTCAGTAGCAAAACTGACATATCAGTCAAATTATTTTCTTAATTTTAATCCTCTAATTCATTAAAAATAAAAGACATAAAACATTAGTGAGGACAGAGAAAAAATATTCTATAGTCTTAAGAGATTTTTCAAATTGGAGAGGGGAAAAAACAGTATAACAGGATTATTTTAAGACTGCCATGACTGTGAAGAAGCACTGCAAGGGCAAACATAAGACTCTAAACTCAATTTGTAAAATCAGAATTTACCTTCTCCTAAATAAGCACCAATGATTTTGATAAACTTACTTGGTGGTTTCAAATTTTTGTTCATCTCCCATTTATTTTATTTTGGGAATTCAAACCTCTGTCTACAAGTCCGTTTAGTCAGCTAAATAATATAAATTTACGACAGCAGTATACAGCTGAACCAAATAAATCACAACAAAAAAACTACAACTTAGCTATATTTGAGAAAATAACTATGAGATCTAAAATATCACAAAAAGTACTCTCTACTACACTAGTTGAAGCTCTTCCTACGTTACTGAATTGAGAAGATTCTCTCCAAAGAAAGTCCATCTTTAGAATAGATTTTAAGCAATTTGCAAGCTTAACTTGCAAGAGACCCCTTTCTCTCTATATTAATTCCAAGTTCACCACTATTTACGAAAGACATAACATGAAAACAAGCTACCCGTCTGTTCCACCAGTCTTCTTCATAGGTTGCAATAACGCAGGATGCAAGAGATGTTATTTTAAAGATGAAAAAAAGAACCAGATCCTCTAATCTAACACTTTTCTGCAGTGAAAAACAACAAATTGCAGAGTTTAGGCATGAATGACGCTTGAAATCTTATCCAACATCAATGGTTTATATGAGACTGACCAACTCTCTTGAGGAGTTGGGGCAATATAAGCAACATATTATTTCCCTTTTAATAGCACAAGACTTCATGCAGAAGCTCCAAGAAAAGACAGAATTTTATAGATCAAAGGTAGACAACTACTGAGTCTTGAATTTTGAGCTAACTTATGAGCACAAAGAGAAAACTAAAGCTTACCAGTCTTTTGAGATTAATTAAGTGTGAGCAAATATTTCTCAAACTGGAGGAAAAGCATGAACTACTCCCATTCATTCATGCTATGTCTTGGTCTAACAAGAAGATTTTGAAAACAGCATGGAAACAGCAAGAACTACCGACTGGGTGATTTGGAACACCATCAGAATTAAAAGATGTCTTTTCTCCTTATGCATTGCTTCCACACTGTGCAATCTTCATATACATTTTTTAATATATTATATATATGCTAATTGTCTATCTACAATTAATGCTCATTTTATATAAAAATCTCTTTGGATAAATATTACTGAAGATTTCCTCTTCTAGGACACCTAATGGTCTTCCTTTTTTTCTCCTAGAAAAGGAGACTTACATATATACAAATTCATAATAAATATTATTCCAACACTAGGAAACATATGTTTAACAAAGATTTTACAGGAATAATTTTATACACATCATAAACAGAGAATCATCCACATAGAATCATTTTCCCACAACGAGGAAGCATATTATACTGAGAAAGAGAATTCTGGAAGACACACTGCATCCGAAGACTCTTCATGGCAGTTCTAACAACACCACTAATTTCTATTTCTGCTTTTTTAATTTCTCTACTTTGATAGAGCACACACTGTAACTATTATCTTTTACTATGACTAAGGATGCAATGTTCTACTTATGCAAGTTGCCACGAGCATAGATTG